GAGGGTGTGGCTTGAGTGGCTGGCTGTTGCTGGGGCTTGGCTGTGCAGCCTCGCTGTGTGGACAGTCAGAAAGGTGGACACCAGGTTCCCTGGGAGTCACGTCAGGGTTCCAGCATGACACTCGGGACTTGTGAATAATTTAACAGAGAGCATAGATCCAGCCTTCCCTAGAGATCGATCAGAGAGCAGTCCCATGCGATCCCCAAGCCTGGGGTCAGCAGAGCTGCGCGCCTGGCCCCATCAAGGAGACAGGTGAGGTGTGCTGCTTCGCCACCAGGGCCGGGCTGCGGGGAGGGTTCACAGTGCCGTCAGCCTTGGCAGATGGGTGCCCTGCCCTGTGCAGGGGTGTCCCTGAGTCCACACAGCAATCCCAGAGCTGCCATCCAAGCGCCCTTCTCCTGTGGCTTCTCCGAGAACAGGAAAGCGGGGCACAGTGGGATCAATCATATGGCTGACCCAAGACCCCACAGTTGGCGTCAGGCCAGGGCTCGAGCCTGGGTGGGGCAGGCATCCAGGCAATCGCGAGTGGAAAGGAAGGTGTGTGCGTGGGTGACACTACTACACCAGCGCCCTCCGGGTGGAGCAGTCGAGGTGGTTTCCATGGTGAAGGACATGCTTACATCTCAGGAAGGTGGGGAGAGGGAGGGAGGCCAATGAGGAGCAGGGAGCTGCCGAGCAGGAACTACTCTGCTCTCAGGGTCTCCATCCTTACTCGATGCACCGGACAAGCAGTGCAGCTGCAGGACCTGGTCAGCCCGACTCACTCCTCTGAGAGGCTGCAGTGAGTCCATCCGCGGCCACCTGCAGACAGGGTCTTCGGTGACCACTTGTGGAGAAGCAGGCTCCCAGTTCAGGGCAGAGGTGCCTCGTTTCAGCCGCAGATGCTGAGCATGAAGCCATGAGCTCAGCCCCACGGGACTCCTGGTTCCATCCTGGGATTCAGAACCATTTCCGGTCGGGGAGGAAGCGCTTGGTGGTTTCTAGAACTCCGAGTGTGTTGGTGTGCACACCCATGCAGGCAGGTGTGCAGTTTGCCTCTCAGTTTTTTGGTCTTTGCTTTTTCAATGGTACTGGGGGTTGAACTCAGGGCAACTGCACTGAGCTACGTCCCAGCCCTTTTTACTTTTTAATTTGACACAGTTGCTTATTGAGTCCCTAAGTTGCCTGGGCTGGCTTCGGATGTGGAGTTCTACTGCCTCAGCCTCCCTGCGTGCTGGGTTCACAGGTGTGTTCCTTGTGCCCGGCTGCTTTCGATTTCTTGTCAGTGGAAACTCGAGGGAGAACATTCAAGTGGATAAATCGCTAGTTTCAGCTGTTCAGTGTTTGGCTGGGGTTAGAATGGGCTAGACATGGTTGGGCTTGGCTTCCTGAGTCTTCATTCAGAAGCCTTTTTAAAATCTCACGTGTTAGCCAGGGAGAAGTTCAGCGGCATAAGCACCTGCCTGGCAAGTGCAAGGTCCTGAGTTCAATGCCAGGTACCACATGCCATGTGGGCCTGGAGCCCCAGGTGTGGGGGTGCGTGCCAGTAATCCCAGCACCGGGGAGGCTAAGACAGTAGGACCACTATGAGTCCAAACTGTGTAGCGAGACCCTGTAACAAACAAACAAACAATCAAAAATCTGAGGGGTTAGCACAGCTGTACAGGCCTCTGTGTTTTCTCATCTGTAAAATGAGTTTTCCACTTCCTGTTCTGCAGATTGCTTAGGATTTGGGTGAGATCTTGAACCCCCCTCACTTGCCATGTGCATAATGGGGCTCACGCAGCAGTGGTGTCTTTGAATATCTGTGGGAGCCTGGAGGCCGCTGCCTGTGTGACCCCATCTGCTCTGCTGATGGGGGCGCCAACCGTGGCTGTGGGGCTTCACTGTCTGGTGCTCAGGCCCTCTCGAGGCTCGGGGCCTGAGCCCTGTGCAGGCAGAGCGTGGTTGCTCTTTGCCCTTTAGAGACCAAAAGTTGCTGTTGCAGAAAGGCAAGGCATGATCTGAAGGCTCAGTGGGAAGCTGGGATGGTGACAGCGCATAGGAAGGGGTCCTGGGGTCATAGGATGGGACAGGTCCCCTGGGCCAGGACACGGGAAGGCTCTGGTCCTGTGGAAAGCAGTGTGGTGGCTCTGGCTCACCGGTGGCTCTCACAGGGGACATGCAGGTGCCGGGGACCCATTTGCAGGCTCTGGCGGCTTTGCTCTGTGTCCCAGGTCCGCATACCTGGGCTCTCTGGCCCCTGCTTCCTGTTTTCCAGCTACAGTATGCTCACCTTGAGGTCATGACTTTTATGTTCCCTGCGATCTTGCAGTCCTGAACCAGGTGACTTCAGGTACTTTTCCACTAGGGTTTGTCCACTGGAGTCCAGCCAGGTGAGAGTGACGGCCACTCCCGCCCTTGCTAGTGTGGACAGCCAGCCCTGTGAGGTGTGGGGAAGGCAGCGTTTGGCCGCCTGGAGCAGGAGCCCTGGAGCTTGTTTTCCTGCCAGCCATCCCCTTGGGCTATTTGTTTAGGGTTGATTGGTTGTTTGCTGGATTTTTTATTTGCCTGCTGGAGCGCTGAGCTCCTGTAGAAAACAGCACAGCGCCTGAGGTTTTGTCCTGTGAGAACGAGCTGGGGCACTTCCACTCTTGATGACTCAATCAGTGACCACTAGGTGCCAGGACTGTGCTCCTGCGCTAGGCTGGGCAGGACCAGATCAGAGCGCAGCAGCCCCTGCCCAGGGCTCCACACACGGAAATGTGACCCCGCATGGATGGATGGTAGGGGTGTGTGCTGTGGGTGAGAATATGCAAGGCGGGGTGGCTGGGGAGGGGCCGGCTCCGCAAGGGAAGGCAGCCAGAGCTACAGCCCCAGGCCAGCAGTGTGGGCTGGGGGGGACCGTGGCTGTGTCCTCCATGGAGTGAGCCTATAAGGGCTCCAGCGCCCTGCTGAGGGGCTCTGTCCTGAGAGTTCCTTTCTTCCATCCTCCCTGGGCCTGAGTGCTATCCAGATTGGGACAGCCTCCAGCTCAGCCCTCCATCAGGACCTTCACCCCTGTGTGGTTACCTGGGGGCTTCCTGGCATTTCCTGCCATCCAGATGTAGGGGCGTTTTCTGACATTGAGACTGTTAGGGTGTGGCGGACAGTTAGGAAAGCTTGCCAGGTTTTTGGCCCTGAGCAGGGCAGGGTGGCCCCTTTGTGCTGTGGCTGGGCTGGCGGGAGGACGTAGGCCTGAGGCCACCCTGACCACTGGGGCTCTTGGGACCCCACCCCTGTGCTCAGGTCCTGGCCTGGTGCGGAGCTGCACACTGTCGGTGTGGGGGATGCTGGTGTCTCGTCAGTGAGGGGTGTTGGTGGCATCCACCTGCAGTCCTTGCGTGGGAAGAGGCTGGGGTAGGAGCATCCCAAGTTTGAGCCCTGGCTGGGAGATTCAGTGAGGACCCACAGCTGCTTTTTGGCGGAATTCCAGTTTAAATTAGCAGAATGAATTTACAGCTCATTCTTGAGCTCCTTTTTTTCCAAAGTCACTGTGCTGGTTAATGGAGGGGGAGTCCTAGTCATGCCTTGGTGCAATCACGGAAGCCCAGCCTCGGCGGGCAGCCTTGTCCTGACGCGAGCAGGCTCGGGCCTCTCGCTGGGTGGCCTGGCAGTCTGTGCTTTGGCTGTCGCCTCTAGTGCAGCTGCACTTCCCACCGTGTCTGTCTCTCTTGATGAGGGTTCCTGTCAGGCTCAGCAAGCAGAAAGATGCAGCAAGACCTGCCACTTTTCCCAGCTCCGACAGGTGGCAGCTGCCACCTTTCTGTAGACCGCTGGAGCTCCAGGGACTCCGATACCCCATGTGACACCCCCTGTGTGGCCTGGTGACTCCTGGCTGCTGGTGGGGTACAGACCGAGGCTTGGAATTCCAAATGCCACCAGTGGGGCCTGATTCATAAGGCTGGCAGTGGAAGGGTGGTGCCACCCGCCTCTAATCCCGGCACTCAGGAGGCTGAGGCAGGAACCCAAATTCAAGGCCACCTTGGGCTTCATAGTGGGCTCAAGGCTACCCTGAACTACACAGCAAGACCCTTGCTCAAACAAATCAAGCGAACAACTGCAGTGGAGGGTTCTGCTCCTCCTGCCCACACCACAGGCTTGATTTCCCTTTCCCTTCTCCTCTGGGCAGAGGTCTGTACCTGGGCCTCGAGGGCTGGGCCATCCTGGCCCTGCGCGGGTGCTCTGTGGCCAGAGCTGCCCTCTCAGCAGGGACGCAGGCCCCTGCTCACTGAAGCGTGGGCTGGGTTTGAGCAAGTCCTAGCTGGGGTGAGAGGCGGCAGCTTTGCTGTGGGACTGGACTGCTTTGGAACTTGGCAGGCTTGGTACTCGGTGTGGCCTGTGAGTGGTCACCTGCCTGGTACCTGACCTGCAAGCTAGAACTCTCGGCCTTGGTGGCCTCCAGACTTGAGCTTCCCAGCCAGAGCAGCGTGTTGGGTACTTGTCCTCCTTAGTGCTGGTCCCGCCTCCAGGAGCCAGGTAGGAAGGGTACGGAGGCAACACTTAGTCGGTTTAGTAACGCCTGGGCCCCACACAGCTGGCCCTCAGCGGTCAGTCGTGGGACCAGAGTCCTCGGCCTCAGCCATGGTGCTCGTTAGCCTACACTGAGCGTGAGCCCCGGGCAAGACAGGCTTGACGGGGAGGAGCTGGTTTTGCACAGAAAACTGGGAACGCTGCTGGCACCTGCTGAAGTTTGGCTCCTTTTCGCTGGAACTCTGGGACCCCGCACAGGCTTTGTGCCTGCGTGGATTTTTGAGACAGGGTTTCTCCATGCAGCCAGGCCAGCCTTGAACTCACTATGTAGCCCAGGCTGGTCTTGAATTTGCCGTGATCCTCCTGCCTCAGCCTTCCCAGTGCTGGGATCACGGGTGCATGTCACAGTGCCCGCTGTCCCTGTTCATTGTGAGTTGAGTCTTGAGTGTGCAGTAGCTGACGTGTGCCCCTGTGAGGGGTGGCATAGCCTTGGTGCCTGGCTCACCACGTCTCTCTCCTCTCTCCTGCAGTGTTGCACACTCAAGGGCCAGTAGACGGCAGCCTCTATGCCAAGGTGAGGAAGAAGAGCTCCTCTGACCCCTGTAGTCCTCAAGCCCTGCCGGCCACCGGCAGTCCGGACCACAGTGACCACACCCTGTCAGTCAGCAGCGACTCGGGCCACTCCACTGCCTCGGCCAGGACAGATAAGACAGAGGAGCGGCTGGCTGTGGGGCTGCCCAGGGGCTTGAGCCCACAGGAGAAGGCGGAGTTGGACCAGCTGCTCAGCGGCTTCGGCCTGGAGGATACAGGCAATAGCTTCAAGGACATGGCGGATGCACGTGGCAAGCTTGGGGGCACGCGTCATGTGGTGCCTGCGCAGGTGCACGTGAATGGGGAAGCCGCCCCAAAGGACCGCGAGACGGACATCCTGGACGACGAGATGCCGCAGCAGGACCTGCACAGCGCGGGCAGCCTGGGCACCCTGTCCTCGTCGGAGGGGCCGCCGTCGGCCCACCCGGGAGCCTTCCCCTACCACCAGAGCAGCCAGCACTCCCTGCTGTCTGATGGCTTTGGCTGTCCTGGGGAGGATGTGCCTGGCACGCTTGCACCCAACCTGGACGTCTATGAGCGGGAGCGGACGTTGGGCAGTGGCCGGGAGACCAAGCCGCTGCAGGCTGTGCTGAGGAAGCCGTCGGTGCCCACCCCTGCACCAGCCTACGGCCAGAGCGGCTACCCGACCCAGAGCTGGGTGCGGCAGCAGCAGATGGTGGCTGCCCACCAGTATGGCTTTGCGCCTGACGGGGCTGCCAGGCTGGGTGGCCATGGCTCTGTTGATGGTTCTGGCCTTGTGCAGACCCCACCCCGGCTTCCGGTCATGCCTGCTCGAGGAGCCAGCAGCAGGGTGGCTGTGCAGAGGGGCATTGGCCATGGGGCAGATGCCCCCGACACCCAGCAGCCCTGCCCTGCCAGAGCCTTCCAGCCCAGGTTCATGGATGAGAAGATGGTGAATGGGGCCAGCGAGGAGCCTGCTGCGGGCCCCACACCTGGCTCCCCCACCCTGGATATCGACCAGTCCATCGAGCAGCTGAACAGGCTGATCCTGGAGCTGGACCCCACCTTTGAGCCCGTCCCCACCCATATGAACTCCTTGGGAGGCCCAGCCAATGGCTCTGTGTGTCTGGACAGCACAGGAGGTGGACTTCGGGCCAGCAGCAGGCTCCCTGAGCCCTCGGCAAGCCCCAGCAGGAGCCCCTCCCGGCATCCAGGTGAGCAAGCGTGTCGGGGTACTGGCGCCTGTATTCCTAGGTTTTTGGGAGGCTGAGGCTGGAGGGTCTGAGGTTGGAGAACGAAAGCTGTCAGCCAGGCACTGTTTGGGGGTGGGTCAGGGGTGAGGGCTGCCCATGTGCACCCTGAGAACGGGGGGTGTCGGCTGGCAGCAGGGAGGCAGAGCTGGAGCAGCGCCTTCTCACCCTGTGCTGGGATCAGGTCCCTCTCCTGTGCTTCCTGGTCAGCAGGCACAAAGGCCGGAGGGCCTGGAGAGCTGGCATGGGTCATCTGGGCCGAGGAGGGGCTCAGCAGGTGGAGGGCCCAGAGGCCAAGCAGGGTTAAAGGCCTGAGTTCTAGGCATTTCTGTTCACACCATCTAGGAAAAGGAAGCCTTGTCTCGGTGACTGGTGACGGAGAGCATGAGGAGGTGACAGGCCAAGTCATCTCTTGAGTCTCGGGGTCATCAGTGGGTGAACAGCAGGTTATTTCAGCTTCCCTGATGAGTTGGGCAACATTCCCATTGCTGAACACAAAACCCGACACAGCTTAAAGCTTAACACTGCTCATGGTTTCAGAGGACTCAGTCCATGGCCAGCTGGTGCCTAGGCGCATGCCTCATGGGGGAAGGGTGTGGAGGAGCACAGACGCTCCTTCGCTGCAGCCAGCAAGCCGGGGAACAGTGCCAGAGAGAAAGGGGAGAGGGGCCCGGAGCAGGGCCCAAGGCTGTGCCCCCTAACCGATCCACGCACAACCACGAAGTCATCAAGCTGACCTGCTCCAGGGACAGGGAAGCAGCTGGTGGCATCTCCCCAGAGTGGGCTCTCAGATTGTGATTCAGCCGTGTAAGGAGCACAGCTACCAGCAGAGTGGCTGTGAGCAAGCCCTGGGTTCAGGTTGCAGCATTCGTTAGCTCATTTAATCTATTTTCGGCTAATTCTGGATTTAGGTGAAGGCTTTACCTAGGAAGAAAACTGTGTGCGCATCATTAGACAGGGCTTAGCTCAACACAGCTTCTTAAAAGAAATTGCTTGTGAAACTTAAAATTGTACGAGCCTTCTCTGGGATTGAAGACTCTCTTGAGATGTAGGGGCATTTGCAGGCATCTGAGAGCCATCGGAGGAGGGACCCCAGGGACCAGGTGTCCATGCCACAGCCCTGGTTGGTTGCCGTGTTTTTCAGAAGAGTGAGGTCCATCCGCAGGGATTCCTTGTTCCTGGTACAAAGTGTGGGATTTTGCAACATCACTTCCTGTTTCCTGCCTTCACTTCGCATTTGGTTTGTTTGTCTTGGTAGTGGGGGATCAAACTCAGGACGTTGCATTTGCCCGTCAGGCACCTGTGCCACTGAGCTAATCCCCAGCCCATTCTTTTTTTTTTTAATATATATATTACTTGATAAACTCATCACTTTAATAATTGAAGTTTTAATTTTAGACCACTTTAGTTTTTATTGTGAAATAATTACAATTTTGAAAGCAAAGAGCTCTCATCTATCGTCAACAGCTAGCAAAATCCAGTGCACATTTGGTTATAGGTGGTAGAAATTTTAAGTATTCATTAATCCATGTAGAGGGCCGCCGGCAGTTCTTTCCTTTTCTTACCCTTAGCCTTATAGAGATAGCAGGTGGATAAAGTATAAGCAAACTGGGCATTACTGAGATCTTGAAATTTGTCAGTGACCTTGTTGGAAGCCTGTTCCAAAGCAGCGATAGTAGAGGGACATTGGCACGGCAGATGTGGCAGAGCTAGCTGGGTGCCATCTCTGGGAGGAGCCTCTGGCTTTAGGTATGTACCCAGCAGGATGAGGGGGTGAGCCCTGCTTTAATTTTAATGTAAGGCCGGGTTAGCAAGGTGCCTGTGCGCAGCCGGCGGTAGGTCTCCCGCTGGCTCGCCTTGAGGAATCCGTCGGAAGCAGCTTTACATCTGTAACCCACTGCAGTGGGGCAGGGAAGGGAACAGCAGAAGATCATTCTGTTCTGACGGACTGTTAGAACCCTCTTGATTTTAAAGTTTATATTTCAGTACTTGTATTTGTGTGTCAACTAGAACAGATTGGGTTGGTGAGTAACTCGAAACAAGAATCCCTAGACACTAGCAGGAAAACTTGCGGAAGCGTTTGTGGTGGGGCTGGTTCTGCATCCCTGGACCATCTTCAGGGCTTGGGGTGCTGAAAAGCCTGTGCCCCAGGTCGCCGCTTGGTGTCCATCCTGCCTGCCTCTGGGGAGGCGAGGGCTGCAGAGCTGGGGTCCCTGCACAGACAGCTCTCAGCTCTAGCCTGTGGGACTCATGTCATCACCACGGGGGTCGCTTGAGGTGCAGGAGCCCAGCCCCAGTGACCACGTGGCAGGGCCTGCCCATGCCCACCTGAGCCTCAGGCCTAGAGTCCCCAGAGCTCTGCGTCTGCTCTGTGGGTCTCTCCTTCCTGCCGACCTTTGCTCTCAGCCCTGGACAGTGACTGCTGCTCAGCGGTCTTGACTGGCCCAGCACAGAGGCCTCAGTGTTCCAAAGCTGGTAAAATCCACTTTTCTGCAAACAGTGTCCCGGACACAAGAAAGGCCACGACTGTGGTAGGGAGTTGGGACCGCGTGGCCCGGCGCTCCTCCTGAGCACCGTGTGTCCTGCACAGCTGACTTGACACCACAGCAGCTCCTCAGGCGGCAGTGTGTCATCGTGGGTCTGAGCAGTAGGCTGAGCACTCCTGAGAGTGTTCTGTACCGGTAAAGTAATAAGGGTGGGCTGCTGCTGCTGATTGCAGGGGGATGATGACAGAGCTGTGAGGATGGCTCTTGGCGATTTTGGTGAGGGTGGTGATTGTGGCGAATGATTCTAATGGCGGTAGTGATGGAGTTGGTGATGAGAGTTCTGATAACTCTAGTGGTGGGGACAGGCGTGGTAGTGGAGATTCTAGCGGTGGTGCTGACCCATTCCTTGAGGAGGCTGGACCATTTCCCAGGGCAGGTCTGATGGGTCCTGAACTTGGGTCTGCCGTAGGATGTAGGGACAGACAGCGGTCAACTATTGCCCTGTGAGCTGCCACCCACTGTGAGTGGTGGCCTTGGTTCTTCCACATGAGTGGACCGTATGACCTAGCAGTGGACAAGATCTGGTGACCAAAGTCCCCACAGGGTGCTCAGTGCTGGTTCCCAGGCACTGGACCCTCATTTCCTCCCGTGGTCTGCAGCCCAGCTGTGTTTGGAAGGCTCTGACGTCTCCTGGAATCATCCAAATGGCCCTGTCCTCCAGGGACCCACACAGAGCCGCCTTGGCTCGATGAGCTCCTAGAATGGGCTGTGGTGCAATGGGTGAGAGGGCTTTATCAGCTCCGTGGGGCGTTGCTTTGTAACCAGCAGTTTTCTAGCTGAGAATGTCCCTTACCCACTTCAGTCTCCCTGGCGACAAGTGAGCAGTGGTGGTGCTGATCCCGGTCCTGCCCATGAGCTCTCAGTTCAGCCCCTGGCAGTCTGGGTCTGGAGACCAGTTCTCGAGGTCTGTGCAGGCCGAGTTCCCTCCCAGTGTCCCTGGACAAGGAGCCAGAGGGTTTCCTGTCCTGATCTCCCCATGGTAGCGGTGGTGGCCTTGGTTAGGGTGGCTGAGTGGCTCATGCCCAGGCTGCTTTGTCCTGGGTGTCGACGTTGTTGGCCTAGGCAGCAGAAGGGCCATCCCACACATGTCCCTGGAAAGAACTGGTAGGTTCTGTCTTTGGTGATCCCTGGGCTCTGAAGGGGCTGTGCCTCCTGCCCTGAGTACCTGAGACCTTTATCGCCTCCAGGGCAGGATGGGCTCAGGTTCTCTGCTGGGGAGGAACTGGACCCAGGTGTTATCTATAGTGCAGGTGGTAGGGACCCCTCTCTGGGGACACAAGTGCCCTGTCTACAGGCCATGACTCAGGTGCCATGAAGTCTCACTCTATTTATTTATTTATTTATTTATTTATTTATTTATTTATTTTTGTGTGTGTGTGTGGCCAGCTCAGCCCACCAGGGGGCAGGGCTGGCTGGCATGTGGTGCTGGGGGATTGAACCGCGGTCCCTGGGCTTTACTAAGCTTGTTGTAAGTAGGTGCTTTAGACCACTGAGCCATCTCACCAGCCCGAAGTCTCACTCTTGTCCTGCCCTGTGTGCATACGCAGCTGTTGGCCTCTGCTGGGTGTCCCCTGGCAGAATTGTGGGGTGTCCTGGCTGGGGCTGGGCCTTGTGTCTCAGCTGTGTTTCTGGGGGTGGAGGGCATCGAGAGCCTTGTCCTCAGGTCATCTTGCCTGAAAAGCAGGGTGGGATGGGTGCCTCGAAGCGGGTGCACCTGCCCCAGTGTCCATGGGCCACTTCTGGGAGCGGGAGAGGAGGTGTGTGCATGGTGCCTGCGCAGCGGTTCGCGGCAGGGGCCAGTGACTGACGCGCTGCTCATTATGATGTGATCAGGGCAGCGATGGGGGCATTGTGAATCCACAGCGGAGTGACCCGAAAGATAGGCGCTTCTGTGCCCATGTCCCTTCTCACATTCTTCAAAGGTTAGAAGATAAAAATCAACAATTAATGAAAGCGTGGAAGGATGGAGCTGTTTACAGAGCGTAAGAGCAGAGCTAGGGCTGTGTGGGACAGAGAACTGCCCAGGGACATCTCGGGGCTGCACCTTAGTTTTGAAAGCTGAGATGAGACCTCGCACACGTGCGCTCCGGCCCAGTGCTCCTGTCCCTCGTATTTGGTGTCTCCCCTGCCTGTAGAACCTTGGTGTCAGTGGCTGTGGTCCATTTGGGTGTCACTGGATTTGGCATTTGGCATGTGCCATAGGTTCCCCGAACCCAGCTCTAATGCATAACCCACACTGTGCCCCGAGGCAGCTGGGCATTCGTGCATGGTGAGCAGCAGCAGAGCCCTCCCTGTGTGGCCTGCTCTCAGCACGCTCGCTTGTGCCCGATGGACAGAAGGGAGGGGGATGGGTAGCCGGGTTTGGATGCCACTGCTAGGAGGCACCGAGCAGCTGTCCCCTGGGACAGGAAGCCTGGCCTCAGCTCCCCTGGATTCAGACAGCCCGTTGGAGCCCTGCCTAGAACCAGCTCCTTCCTGGGGGACTCAGCAGGTAGGAGGAGGGGAAGAGGCTGGGCCCAGGGACGATGTCACGGCTGGGCAGTGTCCCTGTGGGGCAGCCCTGGCCTCAGCAGCTGGTCTGACAGAGGCTAATGCTGCCAGGGAACCCTGATCTTGTCACTGCATGCAATGTCCCTGTGGATGTGGTTACGAGACAGAGGTTGCGAGATCTTAGCTTCAGTCTCAGCCGGAGGGAGGTGGGAGCTGGGTGTGAGTTTTCAGACTATGTCACTGTTTTGTTGTTTCGTTTTCTGATGCTGGGGATCAAACCCAGGCTCTTGGAAGCAGGCTGTGTCCCGAGCCCTCTTGTGTATTTAAGTTTGAATCAGGGTCTAGCCGAGTAACTGAGTTGCCCTGGTTGGGCTGGGACTCAAGATCCTCTTGCCTCAGACTCTGGCGTCCTTCCTGATTTGAGGCATTGTCACCTTCACAGCCCACACACAGCTTTGTCACCTTCCCCAGCTCTGAGAGAATTTTAAGTAACTGACTCGGCAAGGACCCCAGGGCCCCCCTAGCGAGCGGGGACTGTGGGCCTCAGGTTCAGGAGTGAACAGGACAGCCTCGGGCCCTCAAGTGTTTTCCATGGGTGCTGGGCTTAGGGGTTCTGCCCCCAGGTTCCTTATGTTAGGATCAGAGCTGTCAAGGAAGGCCAGCCTTTGCCTGGAGTCACCGGAGGTGGGGTGTGCCGGCCTCAGGTGCCCAGAAGAGCTGCCTGGCCTGGCCATGTGTGACCCACTGTCCTGCACCAGGACTACTGTGTGCTTCATGTTTGGCTGGGTCTGGGTCAGCACTGGGTTCCCCCCGTCCCCAACAGCCCTGTTTGCCCCGAGGTGCCCACCAGTGATGAGATGAAGCCCGCTCCGGAGACGTCTTACAGTAGATGTGGTACTGGGGTTTGAATCTAACTCTTTTAAAATGTTTTGCTTCGGCCTCAGGTGTCTACATTGTCCAGCGTGGGCTGCAACTTGCTGTCTGCCAGCCTCAGCCTCCCGGAGTGGTGGGATTGTAGGCGTTGGCCACCACGCCCTACTCACAGTGTGGTTTCAGTCCAGGGCCTTCATGGCCGGCAGCTCACACGTCTCTCTCTGTGTAGGCCACTCCGGTGAGCCCCTGGGCCCGAGACTCCGGAAGATGAGTCTGGGACAGTACGACAATGACGCAGGGAGCCAGCTGACCTTCTCCAAGTGTGGCTGGGCGAAGGCCGGCGTGGACTCAGCCCCGAGCCCGGCGCCTTTCCCCTCTCCGGGGGACATCAAAGAGGTGCGTGAGGGCCTTCTTCCACTGAGGTGCCATGGGGTGGACAGGAGGAGAAGCTGGGGATGCCGACGCCCTCACTGCACCCTCCAGCGCACTCAGGACTTGCGTCTCCTGGCTTCTCCAAGTGCCCGCGCGGTGGGGAGTTGGCGCATGCGCGCTTCATGCGCACCGTCTCGGGTCTCTACAAATGTGGGCTTGCGTGGTCCTCACGCAGGAGGTGTCGGAGCCGCCTGGGAAGGGCAGCTCACAAATGGCTGTAACCGACACACAAAACCGCTTTGTTGTCTCCAGTGTGTTTCTGCTTTCTGTGCTGTGCGTGTGTAACTCATGTGATCTTCCATAGTTGTGCGCAAACCCTGGTGTGCCCCGCTGTCTCACAGCCGTGTGCTAGAGCTCACAGCCGGCGCTGAGGCCTTTCCTCCTCGCTGTTAACAGACAGCGCTTTGCAGTTCGTGGCTGCATGGTGCAGGCTTGTGGCCTCACTTGCGGAGAGGCCTCAGCTTTCTAGAGCGTCCGAGGGGCGCCGCCGTGCAGGGGGCCGGCCCCTGACGCCATTCCATCCCCTGCTGATTCCAGACGGTGATCCCTGCGTACCCCCCAGACCTCGACGTGACGGATGGCAGGATGCTGAACAGCGTGGAGCCCGTGTGCTCCATCCCAGCGTTTCCTGTGTCTCCAGAGACTCCCTGCGGTAAGAGAGAAGCCTAACTGCCCGGGCCGCTCCGGGGGACAGAGGCAGGAGCTGCTATGGTGGCGCCCAGCCTGGGCAGCTTAGTGATGAGCAGATCCTGTCTCAAACTAAAAGATAAAGAAGGCCTGGGATGCAGCCAGCGGGAAGGCCCTGGGTGACTCAGTCCGTTTGGGAGCTGGGGGGAGGACATGGCTGCATGTGCAGCTTGCTGCAGCAACAAAGAAAGTGACAGAGCCCTCCTGTGCCCTTTGCCAGTGAGGACACCACCCTACTACCCTGCATTCAGCCCATCCGAGGCCCAGGGGAGCAGTCCAGCCAGTGCACGTGGACGCGGTAAGAATAGCCATGTGACTTGGAGGAGGCAGCCACGTGGCTTGGGGGGGCAGCCTGGTCTCCACTTGGCTGGCCGCAGACCTATTTCCCTTCGAGCTGCCTCTCCCTCCAAAGCCTGGGGCTAGGGTGGGTTTTGCAGGAAGATGTTGGGCCTAGGAGATGGGGACCAAGGGACCCAAGTTGCTTCCGCGTCCTGCCGTGCCTGGGCAGCTGAGCAGTCACTTGTCTTAGGGGGGCATCGGCGCCTGGTGGGCAGCGTGAAGCAGGCCCTGCCAGAGAGCGTGTACTCCGTTGCATGCACCAGCTGCCCCTGCCTGGCAGGGCTTGGTTCTTGTCCGTGGGTCACTGCAGCAAGGCCCAGGGTCACCCTCCCAGTTGTGCATGGGTGATGCCAGGCCTGGGAAGGCCAAGAGAAGGCGCTGCCCGGACCCCTGCTTTTCTTTTTTAAAATCAGCCTTCTCTGTGCTGTGGTTCTTGCTGTGGCTGCTGTTCTGTCCTGGTGAGGGCACCCAAGGGACCCGGGCAGTGACTGTGGCTGTTGGGCACCTCTTCTGGGAGGGAGAGATTTCCGCTGAGCTGTGTCGTCAGTGGCCCTGCCCAGGAGCCGTTGGCCGAGGAGTTGGCACAAGTGCAGGGCCACACAGAAAGGGCCTCCTGCTCTCAACTCGCCTGCCTTGTTTCGAGAACCACATGCTTTTCTTAGCTGCTGTGTTTAGCAGTGTGACTGCCCAGCTCCTCAGTGGGCAGGGCTGAAACCTAAGATAAGAAACAATGTAAGGATGGGCCTGGGTGATAGCTCGGTGGTCTAAGTGCCTGCCTGGCAAACGCCAAGGACCCAGGTTTGATCCCCTGTCCTGCACCAGCCCTGAAACTGGGCATGGTAGTGCATGCCTGTAATCCCAGCGCTGGGGAGGCTGAGACAGGAGGATCGCTACAAGTCAGAGCTGCAGAGTGAGACCCTGTACCAAATAAATAAAAGGTGAAAAAGAAAAAAAAGAACAAAAGAATAATTGTAGGGATGGGAGCACTGCTTTCCTCTTTGACCTTGTCAAGTCTTCACAGGGAGGAATGTAGAGTTCTGCTGTGCACGAGTGCCTCATGTATGCGGCGTCGTGTGTGTCCCTTAGTGTGCTTGTGATGTCTGCGGGACCCAGACCGTGCCGTGCTGCTCACTCCTTCCTTGATGCCCAGTGCAGGCCCTGATGTGACTCTGACTGGGTGTGGGGCACTTGGCCGGTCCCCGTGGGCACCTGCATGTGGCCGATTCCATCCCAGCCCGGTGTCTTCCTGTGCCTTCCGTGTGCACGTGGGGGAGAAGTGGGGCTTTGTTTTTCAATATAAAAGCAGATGTGGGCGAAGATTAGTCCTATAAATCCCAGCACTCAGAGAGGCCGAGGCAGGAGCATCACAAGTTGTAGCCCAGCCTCGAAAGTTGTGTGGTGTATCTAGACCATCTCAAAATGAAATGTAAGAAAGTCAAGGGATGTAGCTCCGTGTGAAGGCCCCGGGCCTGGTCCCAGTACTGCAGTAATAGTCAGGAAGCATAGACTTGGTGGAAGCTTTGTTTCATTGCCTGGGGTAGCAGCCACCTTCAAGATGAAGCAGAGTCGCTGGGCTCCCTGAGAACCCTGCAGAGGTGGGGCCATGCTTGCCGCCTGCTCTCTGGGTGATGTCCCTGAACCTTGCAGCTCCCTCTTGTGCTGATCAGGAAGTTGGTCTCAGGGAGGAGAAAATGTCAGCAGGGAGCGTGTGGCAGGGCCAGGTCTGGGCCGGCAGAGGACCCTGCAGTGCTGACAGAGAATCTGGGGCTTGTTTTCCAATGGCTGTGACCTTGTGCAAGGACTGCGATTGTAGCTGTGACCTCCTGAGCCTCTGTTCCTGCTCAGACCTGTGGCTCAGGGCCACTGCAGGCTTCCTCTGGTACCTAGGAACACACCCATGTTCTCGTGAGTGCCTGCGCAGCCTGACCTCAGCTGGTGAGAAATGTGTCTTAGGTGTTGTGTTCTGGGTGTGTCCACGGTGACTTCGGTCATTATAATCTTGGGGTTCCACTGTCACCAGCACAGGCTGCCCGTGATGGCCCAGTGGGTCTCATGGTGGAGCCGGCCTAGCTGGCCCCGGTGTGGGCTCCACCCAGCCCTGCCAAGCGTAGGGTGCTGAGCCCCATGCACATGGCTGTGCTGGGTCAGAGCAACCCCCTTCTAGGCAGAGGTTGGGCGCCCAGGAAGGTGGGCAAGGCTTGCTTTCCCCTTATCCTTCCTTGCAGTACAACTAAAAATCTTGGACAGGTGTGGTGCTAGGTGAGAATGCTCAGAGGCATGAGGATAAGGGATGGACGACCCCTGCTCTGGGGGGTCTCTGGGTCGAGGAAACCCAGCCTTGTGGTTAGTGCATCCCCAGTCTCCAGGCCTAGCAGGAGAATGTTCTGCTGGAAAATTCTACCAAATGTTTAGGGAGGGAATGTCACTGCTGTTACATGCCCTCCAGAAACACGAGGGAGCATGGCTTGATTCATCGTGTGCAGCCAGCGTGACCCTGACACCAGAAACAGATGCCCGAGCAGGGGAGACACACACTCCAGGCCCACATGAGCCTCGGGGTTCTCTGCTCACGCCCCAAGGAAGAGGAAGATCACAGAGCTGCATCCCTTAGGAACGCAGATGGCCGGGGAGATGGCTCAGTGGAATAAGCACTTCCCTGGCAAGTGCAAGGGCCTGAGTTCAATCCCTGGTTCCGCAAAAAAAAAAAAAAAAAAAAAAAGATTACCTGAGATTAACCTTCGGTGGCATCTTTGTAGAAAATTTGGGAGCCTTAGGAACGCAGACATAGAACTCATTTGTGGGACATAAGTAAATAGAACTTTGCAGTATATAAAAGGAGTCATGCGGCTGGACCGTGTGGGGTTTATTTTAGGGCCCAAGGCTGGGTCGGCATTTGAAAGGCTGCCCAGATGTGCTGTGTGAGGCCCCTTCACCCAGCAGGGCAAGTATGCACAGGAAACCGAGCTGGCCCCAGCCCTAGGTGATAAGGACAGATGCCCGTCAGGGCCACTGCAGTGGGAGGAACTGTCCGGCATGCTCTGGGGGTGAGGCAGAGAGCAGGGGCTGCTGGGGTGTTAGCTGCACAGGAAGTGCCCCGGAGGTACTGCCCACCCAGGGTTAGGGGTCTGGGTCAGGTCCTTCCTGGAGGGGCTCCTTGCTGAGCCGGCCCCGCAGGATTCCTGCAGGAGGATGCCAAGGAGTTAGCCGGGAATCTGCAGGCAGGGCCAGGAGGGCCTATCGGATAGCACAGTGGGCGGCTCAGCAGGCTCTGGCTTGTCCTGCCTGGCTGCTCACCCGATGGATGCAGAGGGTCGGCAGGCCTGGGAAGAAGGCAGCTCTGAGGACGGTGGTCAGCATCGGCTCTGGGAAGGACCACATGCGGGACAGGTCCTGACGGCAAGCCTGACGCCCAGGGTGACCCCTGGCTCCCCTGACCAAGCCTGGTGCTGGAGCTTCAGGGCCCTGTGCCCCTGCCACAGGCATCCTGCGTCACCGTCCCGGAAACGGCCTCCAGATAAATAAACAGCAAGCTAACAAGGCATCCTCCAGATGTATTAATAGCTCAGGGAGCCAAAGAAGCTGTTTGGAACCTTGGAGACCTTCAAGGAAAGGGACAAATCTCAGGCCTGCTGGTCCCTGGGCCACCACTGGCTCTGAGTGAGGGACAAAGGGATGGTTCCTGGGAGCTTGAGCTCTCCAGAGTGATGGGAATTTTGCCAGTGTGATGCTGACAATTGTTGCCAGTTGTCCCTTCCCCTGGGCCCAGACCCCTCTCTATCGCCCAGAATAGTAGCATTTTTTTTTCATGCTAAACTGTACAGGCTGGCTTCACACTCCTGGAGACCCTCCTGCCTCAGCTTCCCAAGTGCCAGGGTTACCACTGTGCAGTACCACGCCTGGCAGAGCAGTAGCTATTGCACCTCCTTTTACTTCTGTTGTGCTGTAAGCTAGTTCGCCATAAAGACCAGAGCTCCTGGTGGCCGCTGAGAGCGTGTGCCTTTGCTATGGGAAGCATTACGGAATGTGGGTTGGAAGCAGAGCTCCAGGCCTGGGGCTGTCACCAGGCCCATTGTTGGAAGCCATCTGTCAGAGGCCGGGGCATCCTGGGTGGTGGAGCAGGGTGGTGGCCAGGGACTCCTTTCCTGACACTCTCGGGCCTCCCCACCCCTCTGGAGTGTCCTTTCTGTGCAGCTGGGATGGATGGGAAACCTGGCTCAGACGTCACCCAGTGACCTCAGGACACCTTCGCACCAACAACGACGCCAGGGCAAAGCGCACTCTAAGTGCCTTTGGCGATCTCTTCTCTGGATCTGGCACTGTGTGACCTCTGGCTCCTCCCCAAAGCAAAATAACCAGCAGAGCGCTGGGTGTGGTGGTGTGCTCCTGTAGCCCTATCCCTGGGGAGGCTGAGGCAGGAGGAGTTGCGAGATCAAGACCAGCCTGAGCTGCATAGCGAGACCCTGTCTCAAAAAGACAACAACAAAAAACCAGGAGAGTACGTGTTTTGAATTTGATCAGGACATCGAGGCAGTCAGGACAGCACAACTGATGACCCTCAGGGAAGAGGACCCCAGAGCTGCTGCAGAAGGTGGCGAGAACGATGGGATGAGCGTGCTCAGAGCCTGGGGAAGATTTGGGGGAGAATTCAGGGGACTGTGGAAGAAATTTTTAAAATAGTTTTAACATTTACTGCACGTTAGGATCACAGCACAGCCACACCTTACCCAAGACCGTGTGCGTCCTTTGAACAACCCCAAGTCCCATGTGCACGCCCCCACAGGAAATGCTTTTCTTGAAAGTGAAAACATTTTTTAGGATTTGAGTAAAGCAATCACTTCAGCTCAATCTTTTTTTTTTTTTTTTTAATTTTTTTTTCAGCTCAATCTTGATAACTTTCTTTTGCCTCAGCAAAAGCAAGACAAATTGTGAAGTACTTAATTCTTTTGTGTCTTATTTGAG